TAAAAGCTGCTATGGGGTGTTTGGTTTGTGCACTATGGTCAAACGTCTCCATTTTAGTCTCACCTGTCCAAAGGACGTTGTTCCAGAAGTCTTCTAGTTTCTTCAGCTGCACGTTTGCAAACCTAAACCACGCTGCCCTGCTCTTTTTAGACAGATGAGGGTTTCTCATGGGAACCCTTCCAGACAAATACAGTCACGAACATTTAGCATGCTAACTGATTAGCATGCTAACCCATAGAGTCTCCAATGAAGCTCGTGGACTGCAAAGTCTAACTTTGGGGTAAATTTAAGACAGGCTGGCAGCTCTGTCTTAACTGTTTTCCACGGGTGAATAATATTTTCTTTGTAAAATTGTTTAGAAATGGCGTTATGACTCTTTTCAGACTCATGGGCACCAACGATTACTTCTCTAAAATCATTACTGATGTCTTTCCTCCTCGGAGCCTTGTTAACACATCTGAATCCTGCAGACCAGCAAAATGTCAATACTTCAGCTTTCACAGAGGTGCTTATTTTTTACTGATGATCAATGAATGAAGCACATTTGATTACCTGCACCTGGCTGCTACTTTCCCCCTCAACTCCCGTGGAAACAGTAAGGGCATATTTAGTTTTTTCACATACTGCTTCTGCATTTTGGATTATTTAATTAATTTTAAATAAATACAGACACAGTGCATTACATAATCTGTTGTTATTCATCTGTGGCTGTATTTGTCTCATTTTAAGACCTGCTAAGGACTTAGCGAAGATGATCTTAAACTCTTTAGATTGAAAAAAGGGTTGTTAGACCACCTACTGTACCACAAACCTGTTTCAGTTTCATTTTTAGAAGAATACAAGTGGTTTGACATTTAGTAGCTTGCATATTTCATGCAGATTCTTATAAATTAACTTCTAATTAATTGTAAGAATAAAGCATATTAATGGAATTTTGTTCCCACTGTTGTAGCCATACACACCCTGGCCTCCAATTTCTGAAGCTGCTTCTTTCCACCCTTCATGGCCAAGTTTTCGGCCTCATCCAATCGGTGCTGAAGGTCTTTCACCGTCACCTCCAGGTTCTTCTTCATCCTCTCCAGGTGAGCGCTGGTGTCCTGCTCTTTTTTCAGCTCTTCCGCCATCATGGCAGCCTAGAGACACCGAACCATGAGCACATCACATCGTTATTATAATCAAACGTGTGATAACTCAAATCAAAGCCCTGTAAGAGTGTCATACATCAGTAATGGCTTTCTTAGCCTTCTCCTCGGCATTCCTGGCCTCTTGAACGGCTTCTTCTATTTCACAGTGAAGCTGAGTTACATCCGCCTCCAGCTTCTTCTTGGTGTTTAGAAGGCTTGTGTTCTGGAAAAGATCATTAAAAAA